AAGGGGAGAAAGATATCCCAGGACTGACTGATACAACTGTGCCTCGTCGCCTGGGGCCCAAAAGAGCCAGCAGAATCCGCAAGCTCTTCAACCTCTCTAAAGAAGATGACGTCCGCCAGTATGTTGTGAGAAAGCCCCTGAACAAAGAAGGTAAGTGCGAGTGCGGTTTAACGTTTGCCACGTTTCGATCCCTTTCTAGGAGTTTGTGTCCAACGGAGCCCTGGATGGCTCCATCAAACCAGCCACTTCACAGGAGAAGGGGGTGCTAGCCACGGAAGGCCGATCGATTGTGTGGCTACGGTTGAATTGATTTCGTGGTCGTCCATATTAGGCTTTAATCTGCCCTGTTTGGAGGCATAGCACCATAACTCATGGGGTCACTGATTTGGCATTGACTTGGTTAACTGGCAGCAACTAGCACTGCTAAGCTGACCACATTTGTAGGGAAATAGAGGGATGTCTAAATATGCCAGAGGTGTAGTAGCCCTTTCTTGTTCTGCTGAAAGCCTTGGAGAGTGTTGCATTTTCCCTATCTGTGGACTGGTTAATAGTTGGGGCTTGGTAGAAATTAGAAGTTAGCAAAAATACCTCCAAAATTCTAGGGAGGTGGTGTTTGAGATGGAGGAATTGTGTGTTGCACACATTCAGAGCAGTAGTGAGGCCTGAGGCAGAAAGGCTCCCCCGTTTGTTTCATTAAGTGGCATGAATGAGTATTGACAGTAAGGGGAATAGTTATTTCACTCAAGTTGGAGCTTTGACTTTGCGGTTCAGTTTGAGCACACTGGGCAGATTTCTGTATGAAGATTGCCATCCGTGCAGTGGAGGTGGTCTTGCTGGCAGTTGTTTTAGGGATGATCCTTTTGTTTAATAGAATTTGAGCAACTTTGCATTTTGGGTAAGAATGTTTGTGAAGGGAGGGGCTTTACTCTGTACCAGCTTTATGGAATCTGGGAAGACTGGAGATTCTCTCAACTCATGACGTGCAGAGCCTTGTTCCCTGGGTTGGGGTGTCAGAACAAGAGAGATGCAGGCAGACGTGGGACTGTATTTCTATTTCTCGAGCCAGTAAAACTCGTAAATGAAGAATGACTCTGTCATACGATACAAGGACGTTTGTGTGCAAGACCACATCTTCCTTGACTTAGGAAGAGATGGAGCATGACGTTTTAGCGTGAGCTTGAACTTGGCACGCAAATGGAAGCCTTAAAGAACTGCTTTGTCAAGATAGTTTATTGGGTAAAACCCTGCCCTTTTGATCCATCTTTTAGAAGTGCTTTTCCTTTTTTAAACTTTTGTTGGCAGGATGAAGTTAGAAACCAAAGCTCTGGTGGGAAATTGTCTTTCTGACAGGCAATTAAAATTTTAAGTTGTAGACAAGTTAAGATTTTATGTAGAAGGCTCTCACAAATTACATGTTAACAGGCACTACACTAAATTGTTACATTTTATTTGAACATTTTAAATGTGGCATTCTCTAAGTGATACTCTCAATTTTTAGGCAAGAAACCCAGGACCAAAGCGCCCAAGATTCAGCGTCTCGTGACTCCACGCGTCCTGCAGCACAAGCGCCGGCGCATTGCCCTGAAGAAGCAGCGCACCAAGAAAAACAAGGAGGAGGCCGCCGAATACGCCAAACTTTTGGCCAAGAGAATGAAGGTATGTCTTAAAGATGGGACACTGGGTACTCGGGAAAGCTGGGCCTTGCTTGGTATTTGCCTCTTGAACCCAGACAGGCCTTAATTGTGTTTTTCTCTGTTCTGTTTAGGAGGCCAAAGAGAAACGGCAGGAACAGATTGCCAAGAGAAGGAGGCTGTCCTCGCTGAGGGCTTCCACCTCTAAATCTGAGTCCAGTCAAAAATAAAATAGAGCCTTGAATAAATAAGCTCATCTATTACTCTCTTTGGCTTGAGTCTTTTCACTGGTTGAGAATTGTAAATCAAGTGAAACTTATGACTTAAGAATTAAAGGGAAAGGAGGGTGATGTACAGAAGAAATGGGGAAATGGAGTCAGCAGGAGGTGTTTGAAAGCGATTCTCTTCAAACACACTTAACGTTCCTTTGGCAGAAGACATGTCCAGGATACAGGTCCACACAGGTGGGGAGCAGTGAGCAACTTAGAATTCTTTGTTTTCAGCTGGGCGTGGGATGACGGGAAACAAATGACTAGGACGGGAATCTTTTGTATGCTTTATTTTGAAGAATATAAGCTTTTTAAAAACATCTATACAAAATTTAATACATGAAAAGTGCCCTTGTGAAGATGGACATTTGTCATAGTAAAAAAAATTTTGTTAAAGCATAGTTAATGGATACCATTTTAAGTTCACAAAGCTTCTTTTAAACCAGTGCAAATTTATTGCATTAACAAAGCTTTTCAACTAGTGAATTGTTAGCTTTTCTATGCTTTCACTCTTCTACACCCTGAAAAGTTGACTGCTTTTATAGACAAACACCTGCGCCAACAAAGCGTGCACAGTGAGAGTACCACGTCAGCTTTCTGTAGTAATTGAAATCTCAGCATTTCCAGACAAGATCCTGAAAAGAAGGCACAATAGGCTTTAAAGGTAGGGAGAAAATTCATTTAAAGAATGTGCTTAACCACGAGTGTAATTTTAAAGTCGCTGAGACAACCAAAATTCAGACATGTGACTGGTGCAAGGCAGGTCATGGTTCAGTAGGTTCCTGCATGGGGCCCTGAGTCCACAATTTCTAAGCTGCTCCCAGGTGAGGCTAATGGCCAGTTCCTACACCGAGGTTCCCACACTGCCACTTCATGCATGGAGTTACAAAGTTGATACAGGTAAATCTAGCAACTGATGTTAATAAGCTGAAATTGTGAAATGTTAAGCTACAGGGGGCAACAGCATTTTAAAAAGTTAACTAGCAACAAAGCCAACTTTTAATGTCCTGAAAACCAAACCAGGACCTGCTCCACACTGATGCACAAGTGCAAACTACTTGCTTTTCTATTGAGAATGGAGTGTGGGCACATTAAACACAAAGGTGTTCTTAATCGAACTTTCTCATCATGGCCAGTAATCAAATTTGGTTATACTAAGCAACTGGCTCAAGACTGCTTCCAGTACTCAAGTAGGAGTCAATTTCTAATTCTCACCATAGATACAATGTGGTGTGCACAGTGGATTAAGCAGGATGCTAACCAAAAGGTCTGGTGGTTCACACCCACCAGGTGCTCCATAGGAGAAAGATGCAGCATCCTTCCCTCAAGATGTGTAGCCATGGAAGCTATGGAGCTGTTGGTATGGCCACTCTGAATCAGGATGGTCTCAAGGGCAGTTGGTGACCCTTGTGGTGGGTCAGACCTGGACACCAACATGTTAATGTTTCCAAGATATAAACAGGTCTGAAGGAAAGCAATGTTGCTGATCTAAACTTCTCAACTGCCTGATGCAAATTTTATATAGAATTTTTCCAAGGTTTGCAAGACATCTTAAAATTTTTAAGTTACTTTAAATGTTACATAGTTACTACAGAATGTATGTGTTATGATGAAAGCACACGTTCTAAACAAGATGGTAGAGTTCTTTGGTAGTTAAAGCAAATGATACATCATAGTGTTTAAGGATTTCTTCATTAAAGATTATTTTTTTAAAGCCACAAACAAGTACTATGCTAATAACTTAGTTCATTATGAAGACTTCAAAGGAATGGACAGATTACTAATGCCACACAATCACAGTAAACTCAAAATTATACATTTTATTTAATCTCTATTTTGGGGGGGAGGGTTTAAATCTAATATTGCTATGTGAATGCCAAGCTTTTCTTTAGGGTAAGTATTAAAACTAGTGCCAAATCTTAGTTGCAAAAATTGATATTCAGAAAACGAGTCAGTGCAGAGGGTCCATTGTGAAGTAATGAGAACTGTACATGATTTCTGACAAGTCCTTCACTTTGACTCTTCACACTGCTGCTCTTCTGGCCCCACAGTGAAGGAGCACAGGAACTTTACATAGGTTACACCAGGAGGCAGGGTGGGTTGGGCTGGGGGTGGTTGTGCTACTAGATTGTATTGCCCAGTAGTTGTCTTGTTTATGAACTGTTTTAGTCAACAGCTAATGTGTGACAGCAGATGGACCTAACAACACCATCTCCACACACCACTACTGGTTTTCCCGAGAATGAGCCAAGGCAAACCTGCTGCTTCTAAGGACGTTTTGAACAAAAAGACATGATAAAGGTCTAAATGAAACGCGCTGACGTCACGATTACACCTACTGACGACAAGCCCAACAAGCTTTAAGTTTTACAGCTTAATTGATTCAATCTAAAAAATATTATTTACAGATGTGCATTTTCACTCACAGGCATACAGACTAAGTATCATACATGAATAAAACTGCAGTGCAAGTTTATCCCACAGGTTTTCAAAAGTGAGCAAGAGCAAGGATTTGTGTGTCTGGACAAAGCTTTTAGGTCAAAAATCAACTGCATTTTAAGCATGGTTCAATTAAACTTATAAATTACGTTGCCAAATTCATTTTACTATTTCACTGGCTCATTCCAATTTTGAAGATTTAAAGCAAACTAACATGGTCTTGGGAAATGATGTGAGGAAGTAACGATATTCAAAACAATCCATTAAGTAAACATAACATGAAAGTAAAGTATATATTAAATTTAAAGCCAGAGGCACGGCAGTTGCCAGCAGACTTCCAGGTAATTTTGAGATGACTGACTACAGACCAGTTTAGTGTAGCCATTTCTTTAACAGTCAATAAGACCCCTTTCAGAAAACTGCATTGCAACATGCAATCTAAATTTCAATAAATATACACTTATAATGTGGCTGTATCCACACATATCTACACAGCCACAAACCTTTATATACACAAACACAAATAGTTGCTCTTATAATTGAGAAAGTTCATTTCTGGGCTAGGCATCTTTACACTGATTTGCCATTCCCCACACCCAGTAGCTCCAACTACATTATTAACAAAATGCTTAGGATAAGGAGTATGGCTTCTTATCAAGATCCAGCGAATACGAAATTGGTTTTCAGCAGAGTTTGAGAAACTTCAGAAGTTGACATAAGAAGTCTTCAATGTCAGTAAGTCCTGGGACATTTTACATTGCAAGATGATTCGGTCTGAATTACAATTCATTACGTATTATCCCCAGAAGGGAGTTCATCTCTTTAAATAAGAGGTGCACCAAAGCACTTCCTGCACCACTCCACGCTGCTACTTGGGGGAGCATCAATTTTCTGCAACTTTTCAACAATCTCCGAAGATAGATTTCTATATGCAAGTTCATACTCGTTGTCAAATGCCTCTGAAAGACATTGTCAAAAAGAGTTCATTGTAACTTGTTTATAAGAAAAGAAAAAAGCCATGCATCTAAAAGCAGCACTGAAATCAATTCATAATGACACATAATGAAACAATCTATTTAAAAAGAAAGAAACAAAGAAAATTACGTTAACTTACACTTACCGGTTATGATTTCAAAAATTGTTTCAGAAAGTAAACTATTGATCTCCCTTAATAAATCATTATTAGACAACTTACCAATATCAATATTCTCTCTTCCAAGGGATACTAATGATAAGAAAAGGATTTCTCTGTATAAGCTCCTATAAAATAAATACATATATTTAAAGTTAATAGACAAATCATATTAAACTATCCCACAAGGACAAACACACACAAATTCAGGTTTTAATGGTGGTGAAAACTCAGTAAGTGATCTACCTCGCAATAATGGACCCGGGCCAGGGTACTACAGCTCTAAGAAATGCCACCCTTGAAGGCAGATGGGTGAAGTGTACACTTGACTCTACTATTTGGGCAAATTCTGGTCAGTTTTTAGCTATGGTCAATTAAAGGGCTAAAAGATAATGTTCCTAGCGTTAAAAAAAAAAAGCTGATGGTGTACTCGAGCTTAAATTCTGAGCACTAAGTCTGTGGAAGACTACGGTGCTTACAGCAATGGCCCTGAATCCAATTTTGAGTCTCCACGTAGATTCAGCCTCCATTTAACTCAGATCACACACTGCCAAAGTGAACAGCTTTGTCCCCAGGTAGAGTGCCTTAGAGAGTAGATCACCACCACTCCCCTAACCACGGAGGGGCAGCCGAGTCTTTAGAGACTTGTCTGTGGGTGCCCTGTATGGTTTTTGGGGTCCTGGGTCTCATGACTGAATTATATATCTCCTGAATGCCTTGATCGGAAAGCCCTGAACCAATCTGAATAGCTCTTCTCTCTAGAGTAGTGTACAGCTGCTTTTCTGTAAATCCTTGGATGCCGTTGTGACCTCGTGCTGATGGTCTCCTTTGTCTGGATGTCATCTTTGTCCTATTAAGACGAAATCAGTACTCTACATAAACTATATTGAGAGGCAGGGTCTCGTCTGTCTCCTACAACAATGGACATAAGGCCTTCTCATTAATTAAAAAAAAATCTTATTCTGAAACATTTCTCTCATCAAACAATAAAAAGTTTTACCTACTATAAATTTTTCAAAACCTAAGTAATGTTTACCTTTAGTTTCTAACTAAAATTCACAAAAGCAGTCTTTTTTTCTGCCACTTGAAAAAATAACATGAATTTCTATGGTAGGTAAGCACATAGAAACTGCTAGGTGCACACCGGGTGAAATGCTATGGCTGCGCAACATAGCAGCAATGGGAGTCAAGCAATGAAGTCCCCAGGGCGTGCACCCCATCAGATTCGACCAGGAAACACTCCTAAAGGTCAAAAAACAGGCCTGGAACTATTTATAAGAGTTTTTTTGTTTGGTTTTTTTTGGTTTTTGCTGTTTTGTTGTTTTGCTCTGTCTTGTTTTTGACTAATTATTGTCTCTGCATGTCTATCTAGATAAATAGGCAGGATAAAGAATCCGGAGGTCAAAATAACAGAACCAACAGTTCTGGGGGGACATGGGACAGAGGGAGAGGTGGGGGAAAGGAATTGGGGTGTTAACAAACCCAGGGACAAGGGAACGAGCGATCAAAAACAGAAGACGAGGAGGAGGCCTGGTAGGACATGATCAAGGGCTATTTGGCCAAGAGGAATTACTGAAACCCGAATGAAGGCCGAACATGATAGTGGGACAAGAGGAAAGTAAAAGGAAATAGAGAAAAGAACTGGGAGGCAAAGGGCATTTATAGAGGTCTAATACAGCATGCACATATGTAAATACATTTATATATAATGGTAGGGAAATAGACCTATGTGTATATATTTATATGTTAAGCATTAGGTAGCAGATGGACATTGGTCCTCTATTCAAGTACTCCCTCAACACAAGAACACTTTGTTCTAATAACCCGGCATTCTGTGATGCTCACCTTCCTAACAAGATCGCTGAAGACAAAGTGGGTGCATAAGCAACTGTGGTGAAGAAAGCTGATGGTGCCCAGCTATCAAAAGATACAGCATTTGGAGAATCTTAAAACTTTGAAGATAAACAAGCGGCCATCTAGCTGAGAAGCAACAAAGCCCACATGGAAGAAGCACACCAGCCTGTGTGATCATGAGGTTTCAATGAGATCAGATATGAGGCATCAAAGACCCAGAATTAAAAAATCATATCAATGTGAATGAAGGGGAGTGCAGAGTAGAG